CGGGCAGCCATGCAAATACTCTGGTGATGCCAGACAGAAGACGCCCACCTGAAGAGGTGAGTAATAACTTGTTGCCATGTATTCTACCTATTCTACTCCGAGTAAGGATTTTTGTCATTATTCTCAATGGTGGTGAAACTGGATTTGGATAGAATTTTGACAATGACCTCAAACACGTCAGTTTAGTGATGCAGTAGCCATAACTATTTGTCAGCTTGATATCATAAATTGTACTATTTCACATATTCACAAGGTGGCGGTACCTTGTCAGTATAACGCCTTATAGCGTCTCTCCACGTCATACCCGAGTCCAACCACGCTACATGCAGTCTGGTTTGAGAGCGTTTAGTTGAAAGACTTGCTCTAAGCGTGTGGTGACTACTATTTTATACTGACAAATAATATACGAGAAGTGGATTTATTTCTTGCTGCTATGGAGACAAAAATCTAAACATGTGGCGAATGATGGAAGCGTTTGGATTTTTACGTTTACCTCACAGTATGAAACAAAGGCGACGGGAATCATGGCGACAGCGATCACCACTCATCGGCGTTTTTGTTGTGCTTTTATTTTTCACAATTGCTTCAGGGCAGCTGAGGTACTCTATATCAGAAGAGCTAACAGAAGGGAGTGTTGTTGGGAATATCGCTAAGGATTTGGGAATAGATCTGAATATAATGAAGCAGAGGGGATTTCGCATTATATCTGGCTCGACTGAACCTCTTTTCAATGTAAATGAGGATGATGGGGTCCTTTACGCAAAGCGCAAAATAGACCGAGAGGAAGTATGTAAGGATAATAATGTTTGTGTAATTAGTCTCAAAACTGTGCTTGAAAACCCACTAGAAATACATTATGTCATAGTGGAAATAGCGGATTTAAACGACCACTCTCCTGCATTTCCCGACAAAGCTCAGAAACTAGAGATCTTCGAGTCTGCATTACCAGGAGCACAGTATCAGTTACAAAACGCTCACGATCCGGATAGTGGCACAAACTCTATCCAACAGTATAAAATAAGTCAGAACGACCATTTTCGTTTAGAGATTAAAGACAGAGGCAAAGATGGTAAAACTCCAACTTTAACGTTGGGTAAACAGCTAGACAGAGAGGTTAAAAGTAGCCATAAATTGGTGCTCATGGCTATAGACGGTGGAACACCTCAAAACACGGGCACAGTTGAAATATGCATAGATGTTTTAGACGTTAATGACAACATGCCAGTGTTTATTCAAGATACATATTCAGCTGTACTACAGGAAAACACTCCGGCTGGCACAACAGTCATTCAGGTTAATGCAACCGATTTGGATGATGGTCCCAATGGGGAAGTAGTTTATTCATTTGGCAGTGGCGTAAAAGGTAAAATTCGAGAGCTTTTTGATATAGACTCTGTTACTGGGGAGATAATTGTCAAAGGTCACATAGATTTTGAAGAACAAGACAGCTATCACATTGATATACAAGCCTCTGATAAGGGAAGCATTCCATTTAAAACTTATAAAAGTGTGATAATTAACATTGGAGACATAAATGATAATCCCCCTGAGATAGAAGTGGCATCGCTGTCAAGTGCAGTTTCAGAGGACTCTAGACCAGGAACAACGGTCGCGCTTCTCAGCATTACAGATTCAGACTCTGGGTTAAATGGAAAAATAATCAGCTATATCGCAGGGGACAG